GACCTGCCTCCTCACCTGCTGTTTGGTTGATTTGCATATTAGGATTTTATTATATAGGATTATATCCCAAAATTGGAAAACAAAATAAAATTCAATTACGTTCTAACTTAAAATATATTTAAAAAAAGAGAAAATGTGCTATATGTATGCAAAGGAATAGTATTCAGCCATAAAAAGAGAAAAAACATTTGCAAAAACATGGATGGACCTTGAGGGCATTATGTTAAGTGAAATAAGTCAAACAGAGAAAGACAAATACTGTATGATCTCACATGTGTGTCAAATCTAAAAAAATCAAACTCATTAGAAATAGATAACAGATTGGTGGTTACCAGAGGTACGAGTTGGGGATGGGGAGTTAGATGGAGTTAGCCAAAAGATACAAATTTCTAGCTATACGATGAATTAGTTCTAGGAATGTGATGTATAGCATGTAGACTATAGTAAACACCCTTGTATATTTAACAGTTGCTGAGAGTAGACTTTAGAAGTTCTCACCACAAGAAAAGAACTTGTAACTATGTGAGCTGATGGACATTGATTAAACTTATTGTGGTGATCATTTTGCAATATATACATATCTCAAATTATTATGCTATACATCTAAAACTAATACAATGCTATATGTCAACTAAAGGCCCAGTGCATGACATTCGTGCACTGGAGGGGGGAGTCCCTCAGCCCGGCCTGCGCCCTTTCGCAGTCTGGGACCCCTTGCTCCTTACCGCCCACCTGCAGCAGAGGCAGGAGAGGCTCCCGCCACTGTCACTGTGCTTACCAGCTGTGAGCCCGACTTCTGGCTGAGCAGCACTCCCCCTGTCGAAGTGCACTGACTACCAGGGGCAGCTCCTGTGTTGAGCGTCTGCCCCTGGTGATCAGTGTGTGCATTGTGCGTGTCAACCACTGTTTGGTTGATTTGCATATTAGGGTTTTATTATATAGGATTATATCCCAAAATTGGAAAAGAAAATATAATTCTAATCTTGCTCCTGCTTAAAACTCTGCATTTCCTCCAATGGCTCTTTATATGGCCTCCAATGTCCCAGGTGCTCAGGGTCCATCACCAGCCCTACCGTCTCCATATGCTGTCCTCCAACCACAAAAAAAATCCCCTTCAGTATCAGTTATCACAAACACCCAGGGATGGTGATAGAAGTAGCTAGAGGACTTCCAATAGATTCCATATTTATCAGAGTATAAAATACATTACAGTGATAAATACACTAATGTTCTACCAGGAAAAAATAATGACAGATTATTAGACAGTGGCATGGAAAGATTTTATGCTTTTAAGCAAAAGCTGCAAGTTGCAACATTATTTTCAATGATCAAAAACTGCCTAGCAGCCCTAGCCTGTTTGGCTCAGTGGATAGAGTGTCGGCCTGCGGACTGAAGGGTCCCAGGTTTGATTCTGATCAAGGGCACATGCCTGGGTTGTGGGCTCAATCCCCAGTGTGGGGTGTGCAGGATCAATGATTCTCTCTTGTCATTGATGTTTCTATCTCTTTCTTTTATCCCTCCTCTCTGAAATAAATACAAATATATTTTTAAAAAACTGCCCAGCATATAGTAGGTAATAAACACATACATATTGAATTGAAAGAATATGATCTCAGACTGTTTTCAAAAGAAAATGACCATTCCCACATTTGTAAACAAGCCCATATATTTAAATGTGCCTTAAAAAAGCCCTTGAAGGACAGTGACCTCTGATAACGGTGCTTTCCCCTGGGTGTGAGCAGCTTTATGTTTCCCTGGGTTTGGTCTGCAGAAGCAACATCGTGAGAGGTGGGGCTGCAGGGGGCAGCCCACACATACACCTGGCAGCTCACAGGTGTTGTTGTTGGTTGCCTTTAGTCCTGCTCTCTCCATAGAAAAGAACAGTAAAGCCCAACCACTCCCAACCCCCCTCAAGGTAACTTGTAGGTTCATAGCGAAAAGGCCAAGGACAAGATGTCCAATTATTCAGAACACTGTTTTATTTATATCTAAGGAGAGGCGCCTGCAGAGGCCGGGGCCTTGTGCAAGCCAGGCATTGTGGGTGGGTGGCTTCTAAGGCTTGGAGCACCCACGCCAGAGTCAGCCAATATGCCCAGAGCAGGGGGTTCATGTTCCAGCGGCTAAATCCTGAAAGTTCTGGTCTCTGTCTCAAAGCTCAAGGGATTAAAAGAGATGTCAGGCAGGGTCAGCTCAAGGGACCATGTCGGCCCTGGGGGACCAGGGCAAGATCAGAGAAACACCTGGATCTGGGTGAGAGGTCACTTAAGAGAACAGGCCGGCCTCCCTGAGATTTTGGAAATGGTTACAAAACAGTATGACTTTGGAATAGTCAGAAAGAATTTTTCAAAATTTAGGAGACACAACATAGTTTGGGAGACTTTTAGAGAAAGGCCCACAGTTCACTTCCAATTTACCAGGATGAAGTCTGTCTTAGTCTGTCCAGGCTGCTCTAACACATTACGGTAAACTGGGTGGTTTAAACAGCAGACCTTCCTCCCAGTTCAGGAGGCTGGGAAGTCTACGATGAGAGTACCAGCATCATCAAGTTCTTGGTGAGAACTTTCCAGTTTGCAGACAGTCACCTTCTATAGCCTCAGGTGGTGGAGAGAGCGTGAGCTCTGGTCTCTTTTCCTTATCTTTTTTCTTTTTCTTTTCTTTTTAAAATTAAATCTTTATTGTTCAGATTATTACATTTGTTCCTCTTCCCCCCCCCCATAACTCCCCTCCTTCCAGTTCCCACCCCACCCTCCGCCCTCACTCCCCACCCACTGTCCTCATCCATAGGTGCACGATTTTTTCCAGTCTTGTCCCACATCTCCCACACCCCTTTCCCCCCGCAATAGTCAGTCCATTCCCTTTCTATGTCCCTGATTCTATTATAATCAACAGTTCATTCTGTTCATCAGATTATTTATTCACTTGTTTCTTAGATTCCCTTGTTGATAGATGCATATTTGTTGTTCATAATTTAAATCTTTACCTTTTTCTTCCTCTTCCTCTTCTTAAAGGATACCTTTCAGCATTTCATATAATACTGGTTTGGTGGTGATGAACTCCTTTCGCTTTTCCTTATCTGTGAAGCTCTTTATCTGACCTTCAATTCTGAATGATAGCTTTGCTGGATATAATCTTGGTTGTAGGTTCTTG